CAAGGTATTTCATTCATGTGTTTAAAGCTAATTATGAACCTGTTTCTTTAAAGCCACTAAGATGCTTAAAGATTAACATGGATTAAGTATCCTGATGAACGTAAAATCACTGCCTGTCACTGTGCTCCATTTTTGTTAGGTTTTTACTTTGAGACCTGGAAAGCTACTCAAATTTGTAGACACACAAAGTAAACAGGGAGCTCAGCGACACTCTAACGTGTACTGCACAAGCTCTTAAGAGCATGACTTCACTTATATCCAATTTTATTTCTTAGGAAAAAACTTTTTTTCTCTATCTGCTCTTATCCCCTTCATCCTCCACCCTTCCCTAAACCTCTTGAGTTTAGGAAAGCTTGCCTGAGGAGTCTTAAAAATGCACATAGTTTTTCCTTTACCTGTTCCAAGAAAACTGTCATCTCTCATAACACTGCCTGTGGCTGACGACAGCAATCAGAGGTCTGACCTGAGATGATTTTCATCCAGCTCTCTCCAGTACAGGTATCAGAGGAGTGGCAGGAGCAGAGGCTGACCACAGTCACACAGCAAAGGCACCCAGTGCTCCCATTGCTGCGTTGGTATCAGCATCTTGGGTAGCTCAGGTATGTTCCCACATACTTTAGCAACATTTCTGACCACTGAGCAGATACTGCCTGACTCCTTTGCAAGCTTTGAAAGATACAGAAATACTTGTCTTAGTAGTCTTTATCAAACTGCTTAGTTAATGCATTTTTTCAACAGTTTTTCCACCATAGGATTTTCCTTCCAATCCATAACCTCTCCCCAGCTTATCTTAAAGGAATGAGTTATACTTAGCATAATCACCTGTACTTATAAGAATGAATTTCATTGTTTTGGACAGGTTCTGGTGGCAATTGATTGAAAAATTTCTTTTTGTGACAAAATGTAAATACTGGGAGAGACTGCTGTTGCAGAGGAAAAGCCTGATGCTCAAATTTTGATGCTCAAATAACTTTGGTTCTGAAACTCTGTATGATAAATAAATAAACTGTATTTTACTAACAGTGAACGAATTTTTAGTTTACTACACACTTTCTTTTCAGTGCTAGTTTACAGCAAACCTGCCACACAAATGCCTTAATTTTTCTGACCAGGTCTGTGTGCAACACTGTCTAATATCACCTGGTGGAGCTACGCAGATATGCTCATTTTGCTTTATTTAGTCACAGAAGTAGAGTCCAGGTTTTTCTAAAACTCTCTTTTTGGATGATACTTTAAGACATGCAGCATCAGCCTGGGTCTGTAAAACCACTGCCAATCCACAGCAGTCCAAGACAGTAAATTCAGTATGTGCAAGACAGTATTTCTTGTATATGCACAGGGCAATAGAAGGAACCAGGAGAGAGCTCAGGTCCAGAAGGTATCAGCAAAGATCACCTGTCTCAGCCAGCAAAGCCACTGCTCTGAAATATCCTGCATGCAAAATGGCTTCAGCAAAGTACTTGGTAATGCCTAAACATATCCTGCAGGTTCCTGCTGCTTCCCTTTCTTTTGTGCCATTTTTTTCATTAGTTCTACTCTTTATTACGATTTTTTCTGCTGAACAACAGTCTAGCTTAGTCTGGCAAGATAACTCCACCTTTGATCATATAATCACAGCACTAAACAGCCTGACACTAAAGTTTTGCAGTCTCAATATAGCTAAAAATACAAGGCTTTGCCTGTAATATCTTAGTAATTAACTTTTTCACATAAGGTAAGAACCAGAGATAAAAAATGGGTTCCCTGTTTTTTCTGCTATGCCTTCTTTAGTCCTCAAGTAAACAGGACCTAATTACAGCTGTTAAAATAATGTCACAGTTTCTCAGCTAACATCTACTCCCCTGCTCTAAAAAAGCCAATTAATATCCCTAAGGGAAAGGTTTTCCTCACTCCATCCACCAACAAGAAGTTCTACACAGTCACATGGAAATGTAAAACAAATTATTCAAAAGAAAACACTACATAATTTTTTAAATCTCAGGTATCTAAACTGTTTTGAACTCTTTTCTGTGCTCAATGGAATGTTAGAGATTTTTTACAAAGCAACTGTTAATGTGATCAGAGTAGATTCATCTTGAAGTTTGTAGGTCACAGCATATGAAAACTGACTTGCAAACTTCAGAATACAGAAACTTATGCTGATTTCCAGCAATTTCTGACATCTTAAGATAAGCAGGTCCTGCCAGTATTAAGAACAGAAAAATACCTATTAACATTCTCCTACAATTATTTTCACAGTTATGTTTTTTAGTATTGTGCTTGATACAAATAAGCTGCAAACTTCAAAAGGCATCAGGCGTTTCTTTCTAACCTTGGCACTTCTCTAGCTGAAAATGATGCCTGCAGAATCAAACATCAAACCTCAAACTCCAGCTTTTCATTCGTAAGTATTTATTCATGTTCTCACTCTACAGCCCTCTCAGGCCATGTCCATACTGTGAAATAAAAATGGCCTAGCCATGGACCTGAATACTAGCCGAAGACAGTCCACATCCCTCAACTATTAGCTCATTCCCTGGCTCAGTTCTGAGCTGCTTGTACTGACTCCTGCCAAAATAAACCTGCTCCTAGACGTGTTAGACCTAAGGATTATATTTGGGGCCAGTTAGTGTCATGGGGTCAGGGGTTAGTCCCTGGCCCTTTCTCATTTAGTAGTACAGATGTAGGCTGAAGGCAATGGACCTAACTCTGATGTCATCAGAAGTAAGGTGAAAAGCATTTATGATCTGGTCTGATCTTGTAGATGATAATAAATCTTGCTTTTCTGAGTTGATTTTATGAGATGTAGCTAAGAATTAGCAAAATGAAATAAACTTTTTTTGTATTCACCTCTGAGGTAGCTCCAGTACATTGATATGGATCAAGCTTTACATGTTTTCCAATAAGCTCCTTTTTTAATCACTTGAAAAATACCCCACACTTCATTTTTAAACTGCCCACATGACTTTTTTGACAGATAAACTGTTATTCTACTGCTCTCTTCACTGGAATGTCTTAATGAGTTTGGAAAATAACCCCAAAATACCATGCTTTGGTGGAAAAATGCATGACTTTGTTGAGAAAATCATGCTTAAACGTAAAGATTTTCACTCCTCTCCCTGCACAAGACCAAAACGGAAGCAGATAATAGCAAACGTGCTGGATTAGGGTATTGATCATTCATCTCTACAAGCCTTTCTTCAACTGTTATGATGCAACCAGCTAAGTCAAACAGCAGAAAATCCTCCACAGCGCAATTCATCTCAAGAAAGTCCTCAGAGATGGTAGGGCAGAGAAGTCAAACTGCTGTAGGAACAGGAATTATAGTGCTGGAAACCTCCAGAAGCATTCTAAAGCCTTTAGACTCAGCAGGCTTAGCTCCCAGCTTGCTCTACAGAGTCAGTGGCAAGATTGTTTCCTTCCATACTAAGCATGATATTCACTGAATTTGATGCCTTAAGACTGGTTGTTTCTAAATCATCTCCTTTCATTTTGAGACAAGTGACATCCACCAGCTTCTGTGTTTGCATCCTGATCAATACCCTGCTACAGAATTCTAGTATCTGCTGTTCTTTGGGAAATAATAGGAGAATACACAATTCCTCAAGGGTAGGAACTGCCTTCCTGTCTCAATTGTGTATACTGTGTTTAGATCAATAAAGCCAAACTCCCCCAGTACAACAACTCAAGTAACCCCCCTAGCTGTGGAGAATATTCTAAAATACTACAGCATATTTTAACATTTTTTGCAAAAATGGTGTTTATCCTTCTTGCCAGGAAGTCCAGAATCACACATGCTAAGATGGATAACAATTCATAACACAATAAAGGAAATTCAACAGATTTGACTCCCTTGAAATGGGTCTTGGCTCTCAGAAGTTTAGAATATGTAGAACTAAGAGGGTTTCTTTTAATAATAAGCATTACAATTAAAAAACATCTTTTATTTCTTACACCTCCCTGATGTTCCAGGCATTCTTACTGGGCTTCCACCAAAATGCAATGTTTGCATTTTTTTCAAGCTACACAAATTTGGCATATACTCACCTATACAAAAATTTATCTGAAAAGTGAACAATGAGATGTATAAAATGCTTGTATCACCTGTAATATATCAGCTCTATGAATTATTCACTAGTGATTATTGTTCTTGCTATGTCCTTACAAAATTCTGCCACTAGAAGGAGAAAACTACATAAAACTCACATCTTAAGCATACAAACTTTAGATGTTTCCTTCAAAAAAAAGCAAATAATCTTCTTCTTAAACTAAGTATATGGATAAAGTCTCTGGCAGACTGAGGACTTGTATAACCAACAACTTGCAGCCCTGTGTTCCCATTTATTTCTGGAGGAATCCCAGCCCGGGAGAAATGTTGTGCTCACACCACATGCTCTTCCTGCAAAAGATACCCATAGGCTTTAGAAGGATTTGTGAATGTTTTAAAATGTTTCACCCTCTCACTACTTTTGAAGACAGCCACAGTATATGAAGTCTCTCTGAACACACCTCTTGTTGAAGGATCCTGGGATAAGCAATGTATATGGGTGAGAGCAGTAAAATTGAATCGCAAACTGTTCAATGATTTTCAGAACTTGTTGGTTCCCTGATTTTGTTCAGTTTTAGAGGAAGGGAAAACCACATCACTTGACACTGGAATAAACAGGGAACAGCATCTTTTGCTCTCGCAGGCAGGTTCTTCCCATAGATGAAAGTTCGGGACACTATGTATCATAACACAAAGTATGCTTGTAACTCTTTGGGTCACTTTTTAACAAGTGCAGTTTGATAAGAAATTATAATCTTGGTGTTATGCACAAACAATTCTATACAATAGCAAACATTATAGTAGACATCAGCAAATAAAGGGTCGGGTTTTTTCTTCTAACAGTCTGGTTTTTAACAGTAGCCTGATAATTTAAAATTTAAAAGGAAAAATGTACCAAAATATTTGAAACTTTTTAAACAATCTTTTCAAGTTTAAAAAATGGAAAATTGTAAGTCTCCTGAAAATCACTGACCTTTTCTAATTTTTCAAAGTGTTCTCTGAGGAACTTCATGGGTCGGTCTGGCTTTGCTATGCAAAGGTTTACAATGCACTCTTTTAAAATCTGTTGGATGTTGTGCTTCTGAACATAGAGTTCACATCCCTTCAGGCTCTCATCTTCTTCCACATTGCAGGAAGAAGCAGCAGCCATCTTCAGACTTGTAAACAGAAAACAGATCTAGGTAAGAAAATGGTGCAAGAAAGAGATAAGAGACAGTTCCCAAATCCTTTGTCAGAGAGCTCTAAAGGAGCAAAGACATTTTAATATTGCCTGTTGCCTACTCAAGGGCTATTGATTCTGAATGTTTTAATGTTCTGGGGTTGTACGTGGAAATGCTGAACTGTGTAATCTTTGTATGATCAACATACCAGTAAGTATAAAAAGAGCATTTTAACTCCTAGATGGTGCTCAACGCTACGAAAAAACAGGACAATTAATCATACAAGGCCATGAGTTTCAAAGACAGCTATTAAATGACAGTGTAAAGCCTTCCTTTTCTATTCCCTCGGGGACTTCTTCCCAGTCACCAGAAACCCATTTTTCTGCAACAGAAGGATTTTTGGTGAATTTTAACATTTCTCCCTTTCACAGCAAACGACTCTTCCCGGTCCCGGGAGAGATGGAGAGAAAGAGGCAGAGCTGCCCAAAGGGAATTTTGGTAACTGAAGGGAAAACAACCCCAAACCCCTCTTTATTTCCCGCAGCGAGCATATACGACCGCTCCATTCCAAACCAAAAACCGCGAGGGCAGCTTTTACACCGGCCTCCCAGCCGCCCCTGCCCGGGACGCTGGAAC